TCTGTCTAACCAAGTTTGGTAGAAATTGTCCAGTAAGTGCAGTAATTACAAGGGGTCTGAGAGCTAGAAACACATGGTAACATCTCGTAAACTTTGTGTCCTTAGGAACTAAGGCAAATAAGACCTTCCTCTCTTGGGATCTAGCACAAGGCTGAGCGACTCGGACAATGCTCAGACACGGTAACAAATGGGAGCATTTGCTGGCTGCAGCCCTACCCAAGAACTCTGACCTCACTGCTCTGGCATGTGCGTCTGCTTCAGCCCTGTTCTGCCTTCACRTCTCCAACCCTGGCCACTGTCACAGGAATTCTGAAACTTGAAACGCAGCCTCCTAACCAAGAGGAGCCTGTCAAGGGCTGAGGGTTACAAAAAGCAGACAGCAACCTGCCCTTTCTTCCTCCTTCCGTGCAGTTTAAATGCTAGCAAGAGCTGTTTTTTTGTCAGTGRGCAAAAGAACTTCCCGAAGAGCCGTGTAGCGGCAAATAGCAGCAATGATCCAAGCTCTAGATATACTGGAACTAAAGACAATGATCTGAATTGCTCTAAGAAGGAAGAACATAGGTGATTCATCWGAGGGAAGCATATTACATGCTGAAAACCACTTCTCGAAAACAAACTCCYAAATTCCCCTTGTAAAGTTCCACAGCCAGGTATCAGGGGCATGAAAGAAACAGCTGTGAAAACAGTCAGAGGGGGTTTCCCCATATCTTGCTCTGCTTCCCCATATCTTGCACTGCAGTGTGAACACACTTTTAAAATACATTTCCAAACCCTCCTCTAAGGATTGAATAACGCCTTCAAATAAAAAAAGGACTGAGCTGAAGCTGCATTTGTCCTTCAGGAGCAGTAATAATAAAGTCTCTCCTATTCTGTCACCTCTCAAGAAACCTTTAAGAACTTCACATACGTTTGTAACTCACTTTGAGAAGTCACCATCTTTGCCTAATCTGGCTGAAATGGTTCAACTGTTTCAAAGGACTGAGACAGGCAGAGCGAAGTCCACGTGCCCACAGAATGGAATCAACCTTCCTTTCTTGAGGCTAGAAGAGAGAACAGCACAGTGAGTAAATGCAGACCAAGGTTAATAGTCAACAGAGCTTCCCTATGACGACTTCTTGCAAAAACCTTCTGGTGATATTGCTGGCTGTCTGAGGAGCAGAGTGGCCCTCCCAGCCTCTGAGACAAATCGCCACCTCTGCACTGCACTTTCAGCCTTTTGCAAGCATAATATGACGGCAGTTGCTGTCTTGGCTCTGAAGTTTAAACTAGGATGATTTTCACTCCTTAGAAAACTTGGAAGTTTGCTGCCTAGAACATTCCTTTCTAATGAAGCAAACATGTCCCGGGCATGAAAGTGCTGTTAGTAAAAGCACGTAACACCTCAGAGTAGGAGTGAAAAGGCCACTGTTAGGAGGGATATAGCTGGAACAGAATGCGTCGCTCCCAGATGCTCCTTTTCATTCTCCATACTTTTCACATGGAGCATTCATGTGCTCTCCCTGCACGTCAAGCCCCTCTCTTTTAGGAAGTTCAGATTTCAGCTCTATAAGTAGGTAAAAAGTGGAGCTTGAGGAAATCATGAAAACAAACATAGCTTTAAGTGAAGTTTGTCATGCTCTGTGCAACTGCCTCCTCTCCCTGACCTTAATGTGTTTTCTTCTGACACTTTTTGTTTATTTTGGGGGGGGGAGGGGTTGTTTTGTTTTGTTTTGTTGTTGTTCGCTTGTTGGTGTGTTTTCCATTTTAATTGTAAATTAATCACTGACTTGGACATATCTCTGCTGTGCATTAATGTGGTTAAGATTAACAACAATATTGCTCTCCGGGCATTTGGAACGTGCGAGACTTTTTGTGCACCAAATGGCCCCTATTAACTTCTGGAATATCCAGGTGCAAACTCGACTGCAGTGCTCAAATCAGTTCAATTTCCCTAACAGCTTCCCTTGTAATTGATGGCTCAAATTATAATAAAATACAGTTCCTCTGCATGATATATGTTACAACTACTACCTGCTATCCTGAATATTGCATTGCTTTGAAACTACATTATTCTCTACCTACATRGCTCAGATCTTTCTTTAAAGCAACTACTTATGCACCAGAAAGTGTCTTCACGTCATTCAGAAATTATACATATGCTCATGCACTTTATCAGTAGCTGACAGAATGGAGATGGCAAAATTACTGTCAGTCATGTTGCATTCAATCTTACATAAAGACCTGCTTTTTACTATACCCTAAAATTGACAATAAATGCCATTCATCTCTCCTTGCCCCATTACTTCATGCAGACAGAGCTAGCAATGCTTAAAAGACCTGCACCTTCTTCTTAACTGCTTTTAAATTCCAGCTTTATCTTCTGTCTTTCTTCTGCGTATACTGCTACTCTGCTATGCCTAAAACACTCTCTCTCTGCTAAATCTAAATACTAAAATACTCTTTCACTACTCATGCTCCTTTTTTTTCTGAAGACTGTAATTAGAGATGGTCTTACTTTTCTTTTTCCAATGGAAACAAAGATTTGTAAAACAAGCAAACAAATCAAACCCTGAGGGCTCGCTGGGCTCCAACGGTTTAATTCCAAGTGGTAACTGTGATGGGAAGAGAGGAGGAAGAAGGGGTGGATTTGGCTCTGGGGCATGTGCACCTGCCAAGCATGGCCAGAGCCTGGACCCTGGAAAGGCTCTTGCAGCCCATCAAAGAGGCCAATTTGTGGCAGATCTGCTCCAGCACGGAGCACTCCGGGAGCTGCCTGCAGCTGCTCAAGGAAAATTACGCTGACAAGAACACCCATTTCCTTGCACTGTAGCAGAATCTGGGGAACTTACAGACCATCAGAAATATATTTAGGAATTTGATTCTGATCCTATATGGACTGAAGCCAAATTTCAAAAATAACAATAGCAAGTGAGAAACTTTTCTTTTTTTCTTTTTTTTTTTTTTTTGGGGGGGGGAAGGGCTAGCTCCAATTGTAATATTTAATTCCTCTTTCACTATTTTCACTATCATTCCTCAATATTTAATTCGTCTTTCTTCTTGTGAAGAAAACAGCATAGTAGCAAATATCATATGATCTATCCTAAAAATTCACAATTAGCAATAAAATGAGCAATCAGGTATTATTACATACTAATTCTTGTAATACTTGAACTAGAAATAATATTAAGTAGAAAATAGAGGAAAAGGGTTTTTTCACACAACTCTATATTGTAGGATTCATTGCCACAAAATGTTGTGTAAGTTAAAAAAAATGTGTTCAAAAATGAGTTAAATTCATAAAACCAATGTCTATCAAGTATTCTTGAATATAAAGCTTTAGCACCAAAACTCTGGCACCGAATGCCTGAGTTGCAGAAAACTGGAAATCACAGAAAACTAAGAACAGGGCAGCTCTACCTGGGGAGTGATCCATCCACACTCACTACTTCTTACGTGTTCAGAAGAACCATCAAAGTACCTATGTAAAAAGATATAATAGGATGTCAGAAAGTGGGCAGGTGACCAGCTGTTTGCTCGTGCACCTTCTCCTGATTAACTCAAAGAACAACCACTTTTCAGAAGAATTCACTGTAATTTGACCATTAAGTGAAGTTGCAGCTACCTTTCACATGCTGTTTCGCATGCTTTGAAAGGATAATTAAAATGTAAGGTAAAAGTTTATGGATATGTGTTGTCTTTGGGTAAAATACATTCATTTATTTTTTCTGTAACTTCCTTCAAAAGAAAAGCGGTCATGGCATTACCAGCCTGCCTTACAATTTGCTCTGTGTAGCATGCTGACGAGTGTAACCCTTGCAGGGGAGTTTTCCCACCACACAGGCAGGAAATACACATGAAGAAAATGTTACAGACTAACCATAATATCCTGGCTCTCTGTTCCTGTCCTGTAACTTACACAGAGGCAGCGGGCTGACTTTCATCTCTTCTGAGAGAAAAAAAGAATCCCTCAGGACTAGTCATTCAAAATCCATGCAGAAAACAAGTTGATAGATAGACTGGCAACAAAACTAAGTGTATAATGAAACCGTCTGACAATCTTGATTATAAAATCACTTCTCTGGCTTCACTGTTTTCATTACATCCTGAGAGTTGTGATTCCCGTTCAATACCCTGCATAAGCAAGCAACATTTGAAGACGGCATTGCAACACTTGTTGACAAGTATGTTAAAACAGTTGCTATTCTCCAGAGGCAGCTTTAATGCACACGAGCCTTCTTTGGCTCTCTCTCGCTTGCCTCGATCTTTCTTCGGCGGCGGAGGCAAATTTCCAACGCACGTTATGCCGGACAGGTTGCGCGGCCTCCCAGCGCTTCGCCTGGCCCTGGCGCGGCCTCCAGTGCCTGAGGCCTCCACATGGCTCAGGGAGGCTGAGCGGGCGCCATGCTTGGCAGACAAGGAGCCATATGGCTGGAGCTTTAAATGTAAAAGCAGGGCAGAAAGTTTCACATCAGCGCTTTGCGGTTCCACGCGCTGCTTGCACAGGCCGCCCTCCGTGGCTGCCAGTGAGGCGAGAAGTTAATCAGCACTAGACAGGGCCGCAGGGGAGGGCAGGGCTGCGGCCCAGGCTGCACAGGGCGGATCCCACCACACAGTGGGTAGTTGTCTATGGGGCCCGAACGGCCGGGCCGGGCCGGGCCGGGCTAGGCCACCTTGGGTTGGGTCAGTCGGGGTCGGGTCCGACTAGGCCGCGCCGGGCCGGGCGGCCGCCATGCAGGACTACAACTCCCAGCAGCCCTCGCGCCCAGAGCGCGCACTTTCCACCGGGCACTACTCTTCCCCCTGCAGGCTTTTAGCTCCCAGCAGGCTTTGCGCGGCCGCCGCGGAAACTACATATCCCGTGGTGCCGCGCGGCGGGCGGCCCTTCATTTCCGGGAGCGGTGCCGCGTCCCTCGCTTGGCAGAGGCGGCGGCGCGGGCCTGGCGCGGCGGCGGCCGGAGCGCGGCGAGCGGCGCCTCGTGGGGCCGGCGGCGGAGGGCAGCGAGGCCGGGAGGGCTCCGCGCGGTCGGCACCATGCTCAACATGTGGAAAGTGCGGGAGCTGGTGGACAAGGCGTGAGTACGGCGGGCGGGCGGGGCGGGGGCCGGGGCGGCCCGGGCCCCCTCGGCGGGGCCCGCGCCCCGTTTCCCCCCTCCACACACACAACATGGCCGCTCCCCCCTTCTTCGCCGCCTCACKGCGTCCCTGGCTGATCCCCCTTCCCTGTCCCCTCTCCGGGGGGCTGCCCCGCGCTGTCCCCAGCCGCCTGTGGTCACTCTCGCAGCCAGGGCCTCCCTGTCGGGCCTGGGGGCCTGCCCGGGCACTGCCGGCCCTGGGCGGGCTGCGCTGCCCCTGCTGGGCTCCCTCTGCCCTGCCGGGGTGCTGGGGAGTGAGCCCCCAAAACTGGACTGCTCTCATGGCAACAAGACTGTGTGAGAAGAAACAGGAATATGGTTCTAGAAAGGAGAGGGGGACTTGGGAACCACCTGTACAGCAGTCAGTTTTCAGAGTGCTCCCAAAGTCCCTAGGATCTCCCGGAGTTTAATAATTTTTTTTTTTTTTTTTTTTTTTTTTTGTTCCTGTTCCCTAAGGACAGTTCACTGCTGCAGTCGCTATTGACTCACCACCTTGGGCCTGCAAGGTGGGGTATGGTAGAGGAGTGAAATACTCTATCCCAGCCCTTAAATGTTTAAATAGTTCAAGTGTTTGCAGGCTTCTTGCCTTCAGTAGAACCTCCTCCCACTCTAAACTTGGCAGGGGTGGGAGAAATCACCATCATCCTGTTGCTATATGAAAATGTTTTATTGCGTTGTTTTTTGTTGCTTCTTGACTTAATGAGAAAATTTTGATCTGGTGTGGGAAAAACTACGTATTTGCGTATTAAAACTACATATTTAATGGTCTTTAGGAGCAAATTGGGAGCACTTTCTCCTGACTTTGCAGGATTAGAGGAATAACTGGCCGAAGTTCAGTAGGTGAGACTGTATCAGATCAGATTACGTGATCGTAGAGTTGTGCCCAGCTTTGGAAGTCAAGGTGAGCCTTTCAGAATTGAGGCCCTATTTTGAAGGCAACAAACTGATGAGAAATGTTAACTTTATGATAGTCAATTTCAATGATGACTGTCTTCTGCTCATGATTTTGTATATCTGGCCGAGACTTTCCTAGACCAAGAGTCAGAGATGACATTTAAAAACCACTGTGAGTAAGACTTCTCCCAAGGCTGTAGTTTACCTTTATTGCCATCAGCTTCTTGCAGGAAAAAGTCAGCCTTTGCTAAAGTAGAACAATAGTTTTAATGATGCTACAGACTATATATAAGGGCCCAGATAGCAGGCCTGTATTGAATTTCAAGTCCTGAAAGGACATTTTCGGGAAAAGCCAGCTCTTCTAAGTTTAGCTTGTGTAATTTTAGTTGATTGGTATTAGTGATTGATAAAACACTGCTCCCCACTCTTACTATATTTAAAACATTTCTAAATATAGTTCATAAGCAGTTAGTTGAATATGCATCCAAATCTGTATTGGAAAGGCTTTTGATTTTTAAATGAAGTAGAAGAGAATAATTACTTGTAAAAATCATGGAAGAAACCTTTGGGACAGTCTTCAATTTCAGAGAATAATATTATCCAAGGGAAGTGGATTGCATAGCTTAAAAAAAAGCCTGCGGAGTAATAGCACTTAGGGGCATCAAAATCAATAGTCCCATTGTGTTTGGAACAGATCTGTTGTGATGCCTTTTGTCTTAAGGCCATGAGATACAAAATTCTCTGTGGAAGAGGCTGTGCAGTGTTATCCTTCTCTTGAGTAATCGCAGGTGCTGTGGCAGGGACATGTCAGATTTTAATAGGAATGTCTCTTTCCTTAAGGAATATGATTAAATAACAGTTTTGAAAATGCAAATAGCCTTAAATTTCAAACTTTGATAGTTTGGGGGTGGGAAGATGCTGGTGATAGTAACTCTGTCTTGGTTCTGTGTTCAGCTGATGCTTATCACATTACTTTAGCTTGCTCATCTGTTTTCAATTTGCCATTGCTTGGGCTTTTGGGTGGTTGGCAACTTGATTAGATCAGAGATATGTCAAGTTGGAGAACCTGTGTTAAATTTCTGATTCCTCAGTATGTAAAAGATGTAAAAGCCATGATATGACTAAGTCACTATTAAACTTTCATAACATCTTTAGGTTGTTTGAGCAAATACCTAGTTGCTTAAGAAGTAGAAACTACAGTAAATAAGCCATTAAAAATGTTCGGAGTTTTAGGACCTAAAAATGTTAAGAAATGATAGCAAAGTATGAAATAATTCAGATTTATAGCTGATCATTCTGAAGTTTTTAATTTTCATGCTTTCTTCAGTTTGATAGAAACTGAGAAAGTCAAGTTCAGTCGGGTAGGTCTGCTTTCCAGTTCTTCACTCTAGAATCACCATTACTACTTTTATCATAGCGTTTCCTAGAAATTAGAAATATAGGTCAGCATCTGCATAAGATGTAGTTATTTGTAATATAAAGCCATAGCTTTTTTTATTTGAAATTTAGAAAGACTACAATAGAATATTAGATTTAGACTGCTCCGAGTTATGACAAGATAGTGTGATCTGTCTGTTCAATAGTTGATAATACAACTCCTCCCCCCTTTTCAGTTTTGAAGTGCCTTCATTAGAATTAGATACAATTCACTAGGATCTCTTTTTTATTAGATATTAYGAAATAGTTTGGAGTGGTAAGCAAATGACTAATACAGTTTATACCTAGTTAGAATTATATTGTCCTAAACTTTTATTCTGGTTTCTAAACACATGTCAAATTTCTGCTCTTGTTCTTTCCAAGTGTTGCAAAGTGCATAAGCACTCTCTTGTATGGAATTAGACAGAGTTTCTGTCTGGCTAGCTTGTAGTTTAGAAGGTAGAGGTCTAAATTTTCTATTTTTTTAGGAATAAATTCTGTATTTGACACTACTTCATAATGTAAATTAACTTTAGAAGGGAGTTTTTTTTAAGCATTCACTTGCATAGATTCTTTTTTGTCTAGTTGGCCGAGAGTAACTTGGGAAGTGCACTGTATAAATGCAGCCCTGTGTGATGGGCTTGTACATGCTGTAACTGTAAACTGTTTAAATGGTAGAGGTTTTTGATGGCTCAAGAAAAATATAGGGTGTCCCGTACTACACACTTAGTAAGGTGGCAATTTTGAGTCATTGCTGAGGTAGCATAGTAGAGTTTCTGTTAAATTCTCTGTTGCCATAGACTTAGGYGAGGTCAGCCACAGAAATGTGTGCCTTAAATTGGCTGTCTTGTGCACAGTGCTTTTCTGATCTCATGAGCTGCATACCAAATTCTCTGTGTCACAGTGTGTGCCACATATTTCGCATAGCTGGTAGGAATGTGAGCTCTAAGAGCATTCTGCAGAGCATTCTAAATGCTGTCCTGCAATCCCACTGCTACTGCAGGATGAGTTGTGCAGCCTTGGCTCTGAGTGGCCAGCTAACAGCAGTCCCCAAAGGCCTGGATGTTCTGCTACCTCCTGCAGCAGGAGGTTGAGGCACTCTGCTCCCAAACAGCCCTTCTTGGTTGCAGTTTGCAGTTGAGCCCCATATTTGACCAGTTTGCATGAGGCTTTAAAGTTGTAAGTGGCCAGTCCTGAACTCTACAATCTTGGGAATGTATTTATGGTGTGGAAAGAGTTTGACAGAAATGTCATGTTTTGGTTGGTATAGGTGTATCTGTGCTTTGAATGTCAAACCAGTAAAGGTCCCAAACACCTATTTCCCTTGGTGTGTTAACAGCTGTGTTGGCAGAAGACTTTGTACTCCCTGAGATCTAATTCTGGAGTCTTGGATTCAGAAGTGTAGAATATTGTGCAACTTGGAAACTTCCTTATTTAATCTTGTTAGACAAGTATGTAGTGCTTTGTATTCTATGTAGAATGTTCAGGGCTATTCTTCTGAAAAGAAGAATATCATTTGAAGAATAAAACAAGAAATATTAAGAAAACCTGCTAAAATGATTTTAGCAGCGTGAAGACATTAACTTGGCCTTCTTGCCAGGTTCAAAAGATGCTATCACATCGCTCTTCAGCTTTATTGAATTCCTGTTTCCTTAGAGCAGAGCCTGCTCAGATTCTTAGTGTATTTTCCTGAATGAATTATTTTTGTGTTATTCCTTATGCTGAAAGTAGAAAACCTGTTTGTGCATATGTAGCTAGCAAAGCTGTTTGGAAATCTCTTTGAAATAATTCCTCTGTCAATAAAAGATGTTGTCACAACTTAATGTTTTGACTAGTTTGTCATAGGTAAGCAGGACACTGTAACTAAGGTAGAAGGAAAAACTTAACCTTTAGACCCATGAAGATTAAACTGCTGCTTGTGTCATAAGGTGATAACTTTACAAGTGCTTCCTTTGAATTTTCATTACCATATTTAGCTTTGGTGACCTAGAGTATGGGAGAGATGATTCTAAATGCTTTCCACACATCAAAGAGCAAAGAAATAGCCTAATTAAAAAGTTGGTCAAGGTGGCAGATGAGCATGTATAAAGGACTGTAATCCAGATGCTCATTTGAATTAGTTTAGGACAGTGAAATAGTTGTAGCTGGGTTTTGGAGCTTCCCAGGAATGTACTGAAAAGACTATGTGTGAATTTTTTGCTAGTGTTAAGAACGTGACAGCCATAGTACTGTTTGTCCTTACCCCCTTCCCACTAAGCCTATTTAGGGTTATTTTGTCCCTAATAGCTGTATTGTGCCTGCTTTGCTGATACTGCTCCAGACTCCGCCATTATATTCCCAATCAGGCACTGAATTTGCACTCCCTTGTAGAGTAGGGTTTGTGTTGCACATACGTAGATGTTTTGCAAGGTTTGTGAAGCAGTGTAAAGAGAGGGTAAATTCCTGGCAAAACAGTGATTTACTGTTTTGCATAGTTATTGCAGAGAAATGCAGAGCAATAATAATTAAAAAAAAAAAAAGGCAGTCTAGCCATTGTAGCCTAAAGCAGGGCAAGCTAATTCAGCAACCTCTGCTCCACAACAAAAGTGCAAAGATCACCCCTACATATCAACTGTGGAGAAATAAAAAGT